CCCCCCCGACAAGGCATCCACAGGCCAGGTAGAGCTTCTTGAGGGCATGTTTAGACTCATTTTATAGACAGGATGCTTCATATTCTAACCCAGAGGCTCCGAAACAAGTTCTCAGGCCCACATTCCTGCCCACGTCCACCACCCTTATACCAGGTAATCAAGGGCTTTATAATAAACTGATTAGAAAATGGGATAATGTGAAACAGATTACAAATGTGGTCTAGATAAGGGGATCTACTGTCCAAAGACATACCAATAAAATAACACATGCATAAGTAAATAAATAAATGGGTTAATCACCAGTAAGTCATTAGTATGTAATACAACCATTGCACTGTACTGAAGCAATGCCAGATGCACTAACAGGAGACGGGAAAGCATAGAAATGGACAGATGGATAGAAAGACAGATAGACATGCAGAAAGACACAGAAGAATCTATAGACAAGCAAAGAAAATGGATCCATCCATCTTCTATAACCACTTAATAAGTATAGGGTTGCATTGAGCCTGGATCCTGTCTCAGGAAGTGCAGCCTAGATGAGATTTCAATCCTTTGCAGGGTGCGTGTATACACACACACACACACACACACGTTTGTATTCATATCTTTGTGGGGATTGTCCATTCACTTTTATGGGCATAACCCTAATCCCAACAATGACGACCTTAACCCCTACCCAGCCCTAACCTTAACCATAAGTAACCAAAGAAAATACAAGTCTTTTGGCATTTTTAGTTTTTGAATGCAGTCAATGAGTTTCCCCTTGTGGGACCACAAAGTCAAAGTAACAGGTTTTTATCATAATGTGGAGACATTTGTTCCACAGAATGTAAAAGATACATAACCTCCCCCCCCCCCCACACACACACACAAACACAATAAGCAATTTGTAGATGCCAATTTACTTAACTGTATATTTTCAGAAACCTGTGCAACATCCAGACACACACACGCAACGGCACAGTAGGATTCAAACCCAGGCTACAGTGCAAAACTACTCCGAAAAGATAAAACACAACACAGACAATACATAAAAGGCAGAGACACGGTGAGAGGCAAAGAGAAACAGAGTTACGGTCACAGAGGGTCACCAAGCGCCAGAGGGACTGAAAGATGCAAGCAGAGAGGGATACGGTGCGAGTCGGGTGCGAGTCGGGGCCCTCGGAGCTCCTACCCAGCATCTTGCTGAGCACGGCGTTGTGCAGGTCGGGATTCCGCAGAGCCAGCCGCTTGCGCTCGTCCTTCGCCCAAACCATGAAGGCGTTCATCGGCCGTCGCACCCGGGATTCCCCTCCAGCTCTGCGCTCGGTCCCCGGGGGCCGGTCTGCACCCAAGGAGGGTCTCAAGTCGGTCACCTGGACCCTATCAAAGCCTGTGACCTGTGAAGGCTGGGCCCTGGCCTGGGGGCTGCCGTCCATGGATACGTATTTGGGTTTATTCTAAATCAATTCACCAGTCATACAAACCTAAAGAAACAGGACTTTCTGGGCCATGAAGGTGCAGCAAACTGAAGGCTCCTGTCAGAATTTACCCAAGAATAAGCCCTTCTATTAACAAAGTTTAAAACTTCTGTCGGCCGTGTCATATGAGAGGAACAAATATACTAAGCCATGTACCAATCACAGACTGGGCAGGGTAGGCAGCCCTTGTAACCACTAAGCAAAAAGGGGCGGAGCCTCCCGGCTGCTGCCTGAATCCCAAATGGAAACAGGGTGGTGAAATCTGAGAAGGCCATTGTTCTTGAAACCAATAGGAAGCTGGAGGTCGGGCCATTCTTCTACAGACATTACTTAAAAGACAAAAAAAATAAAAAATAAAAATACAAGTAAACTGACTACAAGTTGATGCAAACTCTGCTGCATACACAATGGAATAGTGTTAATTTCAAGCTGCTAGCTGACTATCATCTAATGATAATCAGATAGCTCACTAACATGATTGGGCTTTAAAACCTCAGCTTTGTAAAGCTGGGGACTGTATCACAAAGCCAGATTTGTTGGTTAGCTTGATAACTTGTCGGATTTAAGGTAGCCTGGACTAAATGTAAGTGAACGAAGATAAAGTCCATTTATAGTGGGTTACCTTAAATCCAACAAATTATCTTGCTAATCCAAAAATCCAGATTTGTGATACGGGACCTTGGTCTGTTCTTGCTACTTCCAGAAGGCATTTTGATCCTTAGCACTACCTTAGCACCTTCTTTAGGACCAGCTAGTGATACAGTAATTAAGGGACACTAACACTACAGTTTTCCCACTTAACTATAATTTCTTTCAGGCACTGAACAGAACAACTCAGGCTCACGGTCCTTGCAGAAGAGGGGCACAAGCTGGATAACATGGACCTCTGATCAGACAGCTGGTTCTGGGAGCTGCTGCAGAATTGTTATCGATGCAATGTGTGTTAGTAAAACCATTAGTTGCGTATTGGTCTGGATTTCAGGTCAGAGGCACTCTCATATGAAATTCCCTCTCTCTCGCTCACACAAACTCACACACACACTCCGAACGGCACAACAGGATACACATTTACATATAGAAAAACAAAACAAACCCCCACTAACACACGGGCTTGCATATCTGTCGGAGGTCAGAGAGGTCAAGTTCACATGATGCTATTTTTGACACCTCCCAAAGCGGGAAGAATGGACTGGAAGTCCCCCAAACTCCTCCTTTCCCCACACCAGACATTCTGGATTATGACTTCATGACCTTGTGGTTCTCACAGCTATTGTAAAAAGACGCGATCCAGGGTCAGTGACACAGCCTACATATATTAAAATAAGTAATGGTGAACAAGATTAACCTTATCAAGAGGCAAACATATGCTATTCCATCTAAACAACAACAATAACACGGGCCTCTTAACTTCTAGCAATGTGTGATAGGAGAGGACACAAGGCCTAAAGTTTCCAAGGAATGTTATGTTTTTTTCAGCACGTTTAAGCAGCACTTATGCCCTGAGCTGGCAAGATCCATCATCAGATTAGTAACCGTGGCGACCTTCCTAGGTCATCGGAGAACGTGGGTGGATTGTAGATTTGGCCAAAGAAAACCTGTGTTGAAGCAGACAGCTGCTGGCCAAAGCACAACCACACTGCCTGCTACACTGTGTAAACCGGGGCTCATGTCCTAAATGGGATTTGCCCCCCCCTTGTTTTTGGCCTTTTCAGCTTTGTGGGACCCAGATGGAGGAACAGGCATAATACAGCTCTGATGAACACAGTCACGGTCCAAACTGCCCGAGGACTGGATAGAAATTACTCACCTCTTCCTCAGCTCCCTCCCAGAAGCGGGTGTCTCAGCTGGGACCGGCACGCCAACGGCATGGTGCTGGCAGCCCATGCTCTGCACTTCCACGTTTCTTATTGGCCGGTGTCCAGAAGGCCAAGGGGCCGCTGAGACAGTCAAAGCTTTATCAGGATACGCTGTGAAGACGGTGCCGTTGCTCCCACCAGCGGCATGTGACATTTCACGCAGGCCACCATGCCTCAGGCTTCGCTCTGTTTGGCTTCTGTCTTTTTGTCCTGGCATGAGCAAACTCTCACTTTCTTTTTTTTTGCTGTTTTATGACTTTGTCTCCTTCACCATCAATGACTTATAAAAACAAAATGGAGGAGCCTTTCCCAGGAAAATCTGTCCATCCATTTTCTGTAACTGCCTATTCAGGGACATGGGGGATGTGGAGCCAATCCTGGAGTCGATGGGCACAAGGCAGGGAACAACCCAGGACAGATCACACACCATTCAGTCACACATGCACACCTATGGGCAATATGGTAACTCCAATTAGCCTCAGCTTGTTTTTGGACTGTGGGGGGAAAGTGGAGTACCTGGAGGAAACCACGTGATGACATGGGGAGAACATGCAAACCCATGGTGGAGACTCAAACCCAGGTTCTAGTGCTGGGGCAACAGTGCTACCCACTGCACCAACATGCTGCCCTCCTCCCCGTCTCCCCCGAGGAAAATAATTAAAATTTTCCCTGTGGTTCCTCGCAGGTTCAGTCCGAAGGACAGTGATATCTTGGTTGGCCACAGCGGCACTTGGCCAAGCTCACAGCCAACATAAAAGAATCAGATAGTCTGCAGCTATGCAGAGTGAGGCATCACATCCTATAGAACCCTATTAGTGAAATCAGGGTCCTGGAGGTCCGAGCACTGCTGGTTTTCCAGCCTCTGACCAATCAGAATCAGCGATTATTAAACTAACTACCTGGGAGAACTGAAAACAAGGCCTGGATTTGGAATTGAGGTCCAGATTTGAAGAGCCCTGCTATAGAAGGACCTCCTGTTATTTCTGTAGCTATGCAGAGAAATCCCAAATGCTCCAGGAGGGGGGACAGTCTCTGGGATAATCCACTGCCAGCTGGGATGAGTGGTGTTCCAACTGGAATCGATGTAGAGCCAAAAAAGCTAAAATTATCCTCATAACTTGGTGCCCTAGGCTGTGTATCACTTTTGTCACTGGGATGCTGAGTCTCAGGATAGATATTTTTGAGTGGGTGGGGCAGGGGGTTATGGGATCATGTAGGGTGAGGAAATAACTTACCGTGCCACAGGTTCACAGACCGAATGTTTCAGTGAATCACTTAACTCACAAAATGAGGATAAAACAGTAAACGCATCTTCAGGGTGGACCGCTCTTCAGAAGCCCATAGATTGCCTTCTTAATCGGTTTTCTCCCTCCCAAAAGACAAAACACTTTAACGTTAGATTGCAATAACATCTGAAGCAGGATTGCATCAAACACAAAAATCACAGTGTTCCTTTCCAGCCAGTTGCAGAGTCTCACTTTCAGTTTGGTCGATTCTGACAAGGCCTGTGTCCTTCCGTCATAGGGAGATTTCATTAGACTGCTCCACAACAGTAACATCAGCACTGACAGATACATGCATCATGAAGAGGCATAGTTTTAAATTTATAAAGCAAAAAGCATCTTCTGAATTTGCAGTTTTGCATGTTTTTAGAATTCTGTGAAAACCGAGACTCAGAGAATCTGCCTTAACAGAGCCAAAGGTGACCCTTTCACACAAGTCATAACCCTGGATCTGTGGCTTGTAACTGAGATGAAACTTTGCATGTCAATCAACTGGGATTCAACTTATAAAGAAAGTAGTTGCTGATGAAGGATGGGCAGCAAGGCAGGAAGAGAGGAGCCTTTAAAAAAATAAGAACACAAAAGTTTTATTATCTTTTTTATAAAAAACATACAGGTGAACAGAGACAAAACAAACCATGACATATATGCACATGATGGTACATTGGGGAATTGCCGTTTCCTGCTGGGATGCCACAAAGGAGCTATGCATATACACACTGCCACCTTGTGGCAGCAGCACAACCAGCACCCACTAGGCTGACACCCACTAAGAGTGCACTAGACCCCACAAAACAAGTGTCAAAAAAAGAAAAAGAGAGAGAGAGAAACACAATCAAATAACAAAACATTTGGTCCTGAAATTCAAATATGTTTAACACAAACATATTTCATAGGACAAGTATTACCGAGAACAGCATAATCCACTTGTATTTCAGGGCCTAGAAAACTATTGTACAATATGGCAAGGTGTTGGAGTAAAACCAATTAAATTACATGCACATGTGCGTGTGCGCACACACACACACAAACTCACACAAACAAACAAAAACACACATAAAGCAAAAAGTATCCGCAGGTTAGAGCAGAAATAGAGAGATTCCGTCCCTCTCTGTAAAAACCTAAAATCAAGCTGAGCAATTTGATCCTAACAGATTAAACACGGGATAAAAATAAACGAACAAACATGGCACATGGCAACAACTGATAAACCTTACGATTTTCACAGTACTGAAATACGATATGAGATGTTGCTTAAGACAGAGGGGAAAAAAATACTGTTTCGAGAGCATGCGTCGGTGAACACATCCTCAGATGTGCACATGCATGTTCTGCTTCAGCTCAGCTGACTTTTAGGTCAGATGGTGATTGGCATCTCTGGCACTGAGTCAAAACAGAAAAGTGACAGAAAGGAAGGTAAGCGGGCAGACAGACAGGAAGACGAAGAAGAGAATGCCAGTGTGTTTTGTCATCTTCCTCCGAGTTTTTGCAGTTAAAGAGGATGGAGTAAAAACAGGTGCAGTATAGTGATGGATAGACATGTTACCACACACACACTACAGGCTTACTGCCATGTATATAGGCTCTGTGTTAGCAGCCCTCACTGCAAGCTCAACTGCAAAGGGGTAAATCCTGAGAGCTGGACAGAACGTATTTACAGATACACACACGGACAGACAGGCACGCACGCACGCACGCACACGCACGCACGCACACGCACGCACACAACGCACAAGGACTAGGGTCAGAACTTACAAATTACCAGACCTGTTACTGTGAAAAGATATTTGGTTTTGATTGGGTCTGTCTTATTGTGGGCAGCAAAGAGGATGTGTGGGTTGAATGTTTCAATGTTAAAGATAAAAAAAAAACAAAACAGAAACTCAGTTGACTCTGCTGAACATCAAAGTTAATTTACCACCAAAATATAGTCATAAGCAAAGAGGTTATACATGACAAAGGTTTGTGTTTTATGATCTCTGGAGAGAAGCTGATGCATATTGACCTGCAAAAGGATTGCAATGCTAGTGCTACAACTCTGAAGCCTCAGCAAACCGCTGCCAGTCCTGACGGAGAGAGATTGAGGGAGCAGCACATCTCTGCGGGAATGGCAGCCTGGGCTAAATCTCACTAAGGGCAAGACAAAGAATAACAGGACAAGGTTCAGACACTGACAGGCTCTGGAAGCGTGGGCTCAGAAAAGCAGTCAGAACCCTCAGAAAGGTACTGGGCGAAATGCAAAGAAACAAAAAGAGCATGAAGAGAGACAGATTGCAAACAGGGATGCTCAAGTTAGCCAGCATCTACTGGGCTAAAAGTCAACGACAGTGGTACAATATTCTCAAGACCAGTGAAACCAAAGGCAACTACAGTAAGAGCTTCCTGCTGAAGTTAAACGTGGGAGTGCGTCATGGCTCGGGGATGCCTTGCCATAACAGGACCATGACCGCCTGCCATCGTTAAATGAACCATAAATTCTGCTCTGTCCCAGAGGATTCCACAGTATGACATCAGGCTGTTCTGTGAGCTGAAGTTGAAGAGCTGAAACACACTTTGAAAACTAAAAAGAAAAAAGTTTAAATAGCATCTTTCTTAGCCAATTTTATGTAAAGTTTTGGACTGGCCAAACAAATCCGGATGTAAAGCAGTTCATCCACGTAGACTGAGAGACAGCAGGCCCCAGATGCTCTGAATGAAGAGTAACGACAGGAAATGTCTGGTTACAGCCATTGAACCGGACGAAGGCAGAACCAGCCATTGACAGCAAAAGGGAAATTACCTTTCTACATGAGCAGCTCAGGGTGTTAAATAACCTCCTACACTGAATAAGGATCAAATGTTTCTCTTAGTTGTTCACTCAGGTTCTCACTTACCCTTGAGTTTGAGCCAAAGATGAAATTACATTGTGTTAAAGTACACAAGAGTGGAGAATATCGGGGGGGGGGGGGATACATTTTCATGGTACTACTTATGGTATGTGAACAGCGAGGACAAATGTCCAAACCCACACACATGTCCCGAGTTTGAGTTCATAACCCTTTGCTTCGATGCCCCCCACTGCACCGGAACGTTCCGGATGACCAGAACTGGGCAGAGGTGAGAACCGCAGGCCGATGGACCCAGACTGCAAAGGTAGCAGCGGAGTGAGTCCGTGTGAGTCATGCTGAGTGATGCTATATTCACGCAGAGCAGCTCTACATTGTCTTCTGCAGATTTCATATTACTCAACCATATAAATACGTATACACTGGATGTGAATTCATCTTCATGTAATAGCTAAAAAATAATAATAATAAAAAAAAAAAAATATATATATATATATATATATATATATATATATATATATATATATATATATATATATATATATAAAATACAATAAAAGACCCTGAAGATGATCCGATAGCAATGTTATCCTTAGCACAAAGTGTATTACATTCTGTAGACAGACAATCAAGAAAACTGACACAATCACTAGACAGATGCAGCCAAATGTTCCCTGTCCACCACGGAAGCCGATGTGAGGTATATCAGATGCGATCACGGCATCTTCCTTCGTACGTACAGGAATCGAGATGAACTCAAATGACAATATCGCTCCCGTCTTCCAAAGCGCTGTTCAGCCGTTCTGCTTGAAGGTTCTCTGAGGAAGTTTCAGGTTTCTCTGCTTCCGCCCCATGCCGCTACCCTGTAGCACTGGGCATTTTGCAGTATCTCATCAAGTAACCCAAGTGAGGGTTATTTTACAGACAGGGGCCACACTAACCTTCCCTTGACTTACATTTTAAAAAAATTAAGAGAAAAAAAAAACACAGGAGCTTGGAGGGGGGGAGGGGTGGGTCAAGGGATCTACAATGGAAATAACCTAAGGAGCCATACATACCATTTAACCCCATACAGCACATCACTCCATGTCAACAGACATAGCAGATATGGGTAGAGTAGAACAAATGAGTTATAAGGGGACCCAAAATTTGATTAATTGCCTGCTGTTCCACCCAACAATGTGATGAAGTATTTCTCTGGGAGCTGCAGTTTTCGTCCCAGTGGTGTCGACCATCCTGGCCCACAGCTTGAACTGATCGCTAAGAACCAGCAGAAACAATTTCTGTTCCCTCCACATAACAGCAAGAAATAACTATATGGATAAAACTACTTCGCAATCAACTTGCTGCTCTCATGAAAGAGGCATTCTGACCATGGATTATGACATTTTATCCATTTAAAATGTATCTTTTCCGAACCCTACACCACTCACACACACATCAAAATCTGATTGATTAACGCAGAGTTCCAGTTCTCTGTAAGAGCATGGAACTTTCCACTGAAACGTCATGTTTTCCAGACAAAATAATCAGAACTCCACAGCAGACACAAATTAATGAAACAGCCAAACATTCCTTTTTGTATTCTATACCAAATAAAAAGAAAAAAACAAAGGGCGTTATATCAGCTATGTATTTCAATATGAGTTAAGCGTACCTGCATTCTGCGGAACCGGTAACCTCCTGCTTCACATGAAGTTATGTTGTGTGGCCCTGCTTCTGCACAGTCCGGTAACTGTGTGGATTTCACAGAGCGATTTAGGGCCGACTGCCATTTGGAGATCCATAAAAAACACAGATTCATACAGGGCTTATGGCCTCCTTAATTAGAGAAGGAAAGGAAAAAAATATATAACATTTAGAAAGCACTCCACTGTCACCTTGCATATCAAATGAAAACTGCTACTGTGCTGAAAATCAAAAACACCAATACTTGTAATAAAAAAAAAGACTCGGTTTTCAGTTTTGAAAACAAGAGCTTGGAGCTTAATGGATTTTCCCGGCATGACCCTGGACTTCAGAAAGTAGGAGATGAAAATGCACATAACACCGATCGCATGAAAATGTTGGATAAAATTTGAAAAATAATTTGTGGCAACATGACAGCCATGAAATATATATGTAAACAGTACATACAGACTTATACATCTTTAAGTAAAAAAAAAAAAAGAGTAAAAGTTTTGGACCTAAACTAAAAACTAATTTCGATCGGAGAGGGAGAGAACAAAAGGGAAGGTCCAACGCACAAACGGAACCGAGCTCTGAGCTGGAGAGCAGAAACTGAGGCGGAACCAGGGTCGCAATGTCCAGGGCATTGAGGTGCATGTGCAGCTTTGTGGAGTGTAGAGGTGTTTTAGAGGAGTGTCACATGGCCACTGGGGCATTACTACGCCGGCTCGTCTGGACGGACGGCCCCCAAGCTTCCTATACAGTCGCCTGGTTCTCTTAGCTCTTCCATTGAGTCGCTGGCAAAGCCTCAACACCCTATCAGCCTTTGCACTTGGGGAATGACACAAAAATAAGGCAAATGGCTGACTGTCCCTGTGGGTCCAGGCTCCGGGGAGAGGGAGGGACAGAGATAAGGTCATCTGAGGGTCGAGTGTGGACAGGAGACCGAAAGGCCAGAGTGGAGAAGCAGTGACCAGTGTCTTATTGCACCCACCCGTCACGGGGCACGGGTCAAGGAAGCCATATTAGGATTTACAGTCACCTCATTGGTGTGGGGGCGGGGGGCAGAAATCATGGCAGACGAAAAAAAAAAAAATCTACATAAATGTCAAGGAATTGTCACTGAGGACGGCCCACAGAAGGGGAGGGAGGAGAGATGTGGCCTGGGTGCTGGAGAGAAGGGAGGAAGAGGCCGGGGAGAAGGGAGGAAGAGGCAGGCGAGGGGACGCCTACGTCTCCGAGGACGAGCACGAGCCGGTGCGCAGTAGGGATTTGAAAATGGGCGAGGTGAGGAACCTGGGGTAAGAGTCTCTGTGCATGAGGGTGTAGATCTGTAGCTGGGCGTCCTCAAACGTGTGTGGCGTTGGCTCTACAATCTTCTTGTTGATCACCTCTCGCACCCTGGAGTCCAGGCTAACCTGGTGGGGGTAGAGTATAGATGCCATGAGGTTTACAAAACAAAGAAAAACCCACAGATCCTTCTGCCACGATAGATATTTTTGCAGATCTGGCTTCTTCTGTAGAAGCCGACAGGCGTTTCCTCCAGGGCTCAGCGGGCTGCTGTCCACAGTGTCATAAAGTAACGGCCACCTACGGATCGCATCTGGGATTAATTAAACTTAAAGGGCTGTTAGCAGGTCTGAAATGCTCAGGTGCCATGGTAGAAGGGCCTGGAGGCCACTCAGCCCAGGTCTGGGGGCAGCATCCATCCAGGCAAAACCCCGGAGATGGGCAGTTAACAGAAGGAGGGGGCTCTGAGCAGAGCGCCCTCGGGAATGTTGGCCTTAGGGGATCGAGCCTGTGCATACGTCTGTGGGTGAGTCTGAGCATGTTTTTCCTCTATGGCTGTCAGGGCAAGACACCATTTGCCAAACAAAAAAAAAAAAAAAAAACTGCCAAAAAAGTTTAAACAAACAACCAGGGCTACTGTTTGGTGGAATACCTACTCACGTCACACTGATGGATCTTGGATCTATCTAGTAGAACAAAATGCAACACATACATCTGACTGTACTGATGTCAACTTAAAAGTGATCATGGGCGTGCATCTTCCACTGCTGCTTCTCCAGTACAGGGTCGCAGGGGAGCCTGGGGGGGACAAAGCAGGGGGACGCCCGACTGTGCTGCCAGTTCTAAAGAATTTTAAAGCCTACCCTCTAGCGGAGCAGCACCCCATCCAGGGTGTTCCCTGTTTCTTACTGGGACCAGCTCCAGACTCACCGTGGTCTTGAACGGAATGAGCAGTAATGGAAGTAACGGAATTTTAAATCCTAGTAACATTTTTCGACAGACCGCAGGCTGTTTAAGAAACCTGAAAGAACATTATTTTTGCCAGACTGACTCCTCATCTCCGCACGTCGGACCCGTCCTCAGCAGGTACCCTTTACCTCCTTGGGCGACAGAATGGACACATAGTCTTCATAGATGAGCCGCGCCTTCTCCTGCATGGCGCTCGTGTTCAGCTCCTGCTTCAGGTCCTCGCATGCCAGCCAGAAGAGCATGTTCTCCTCGCTGTACTCCGTCCGCAGGAACTCCCTGAAGGTGTTCCTGCCCGCCGGGCTCCTCATCAGTTGGTCGAAGGACACCGCCCACTGCCGTACCTCCTCTGGCGTCGGCTTGGCGCTGTGGAACAGGGGGACACCGCTCGCTTTGAGCTGCTGGGAGCACCGGTAAGGGGTTCTGTGTGTGAGCATCTCACTGGGACAGATACATCAGCATTTTCAGGATCACTGTTAGTCTTCTATCCTTCAATGGGCAGTTTTCAGAAAATGCCTCCAGGATTTTCTCTTACAGGTGAGGTGACACTAAGCTGATCCTTCTGCCATCGGTTCCTGTTTGCTTTTTGGTTTTGTTGAGAAATCAGCGACTGCATCATAGAGTGACTCTGAGAAGACGATCATGCTCACCATGCTTCACAGTTAGGGCTGCTCTCCAGACGGGTGTCCCTGGCTCGTCTCCGCGACCTCCGCTGCTCTTCACTCCTGCCGTGTCACATAGAGGGTGGGCGACGGGTCCTGATCTCTCCCAGGCCTCATGCATGCAGTTTGCAGTTAGTTTATACATGATCTTTCTGGGTCGTGCTGTTTATACTCACTGTACAGAGGAATCAGCACCGGCCCCGGGTGTGTGACTGTGTATGTGTGCGTGTGTCCACCCTGCCTCACAGACCACAGCTCCCCCTAGAGGACAGTCATCACCGCTGCCCCGACTGGCTAACCAGCTACTGACGACGGCAGGATGTAAAGCATATCAATAGCCACTGACACCCAATAGAGATGAATGTGCTTCCCGTTGAAGCAGAGTTCTGTCTCGCTGCCAAGTCTGTCCACGCCTGCTGGAGCCCAATTACAACCTATTTCACACTCAGCCTGTCGAAATCAATCTGCCATATTAAAGGAAAACTTGCCGCTGCACTATACAGTTGATTGCTTGGAGGCTTCTTCCATTACATATTCTGACAGCAAAGGCACATGCACAGCAGATTAGACAAACTGCACTATGCATCTGATGGACCACGATGCAGGTCCAGGGGGGACAATGTGGTTGATGCCAATTATGTGCCACAATGGGGATTTTCTAGGGTCAGATCACGCGAGAGCCACTTCTGTGCCTCACATCATTCTCATATCGAGCCAGATCTCCTGAGGTTAAGCCTGGGATGCTTACGTTGTCACTTGATGCCATGTAGAAGGTGGTGGTGAAACTTTGCGGGGGTTGGGGGGGGGGGGCTATTTTAACCTCTTTCAGTTATGGCGTGTATCTACAGCTCGACCACACTGGACAGGCATCCTCTAAGGTGCCCCTCACCTCTGGAGCCATAATGTGAAAACGAGCACAAATCTGTGCCGGGGTGGGAGGGGGTGGTTAGGCCAGGACTTACCAGGAGCAGTTACAGCAGCAGCACCAGCAGAAGCAGCAGGCGTTGGGACGTGGCAGGGTCGCTGTGGCCAGCTGGTGGGGGGCACCCCCTCCCCCGCTGCGCACCATGGAGGGTTCTCGATCTGCCGGGATAGGGCCTGTGTACTGACACACAGACACATACAGAGACATGAGAGGGGTGCAGCAAAGCCTCACAATGGTCCCACACCACACAAAACGTGTCCCACTCTATGGCAGCTCTACACAATGGTGATGAAACACGACCTGCAAGCACTGAAAGGGCCACCCCGCCCCATCCTCCCCCCCCTCCCCCAACACGCCGCTACCCGCACATAAATCACACAGCCCCCCCCCCCCTTCCGGGGCCAGAGCAGCACAATGTAGCTGCATGACTCGTCGTGTGATCGTGCCTTTAGGGCAATCAGTGCTGTCACTGCATGCGTCTCACTGAGACACACGGACAGCATCATGCTGGGACCCTCGTATGCCACAGGCACTGCACAGAGGGACGGCCTACTGCAGCCTGGCCAGACCCCAGTGCCAGCTCGGGTGAGACCACAAACCAAGCAGGTGGCACATCTTCTCGTGAGCTCACAGGATGCACATTTAAAAGCTTCAGGCACAATGTGAATGAAGCATCATTTTTCATTATATCATTATACACGTGCCATTTAGCCCCTGAACAAGGCCCTTAACCTCAGTCGCTCCAGGCTGTCTGATCCTGATTTAGCTATTGTATCTCACTTTAGATAAAAGCATTTGCTAAAGTAATTGTAATAGTAAACTGTATATCTTGTCCAGCACTTATTTACTTGCCATTGAGTTCATTTGGGCAATTATAACAAAAATAAAATCATTTAAAACTGTGTTGTGCTTAAGATGCCAACGAGGCAGGTTAAGATGTTAAGTTACACTGCCGGGCGTTATATTAGCCAGCAGATCAGACCAAGATCTTCACCTCGTTACTGGATATTCAGGTACAGGAAGCTCCTGAGTTGCACCAGCACCTAGACCAGGGGTCACCAACATGGTGCCCACGGGCACCAGGACACCCCCAAGGACCACGACTCGCCTGCGGACCTGGTCTAAAAATAGCACAACTCACCAGTAAGCAATGTCTAAAATTTAATTTTATCCTGTTGCTATCCTTCTTTATTCACATTTGCATTTATATAGATTTGAAAATGACAATATCGAAAAAAACATTTAAAACATGTTTATTATAAATGAAGCTTAGGAGGGCGTTTCAAACTGGCAGCCCTTCGTATGGCTCCGTACCCATGAAGTAGCTCTCAGTTTCAAAAAGGTTGGTGAGCCCTTGACCTAGACTAATAGATCTAAAGAGCCTCTGGTTTGACCAAAACACCAGCCTACTCTTCAGCTCCAATGGCTCAGACAGTCACAGATGCTACAAGATGTTTCGCAAGACGGAGCATTAGTCACCACTTCCTACTGATGGTCCTGGAGAACCTTTGAGTCATCACTGGGTTTATCATTTAGCTCTATTAGAAAGGCTACACAGAACAGCTCTGTCTGCAGGCTTTAAATATTGCTGAGTGTACGGTTTCATCGTACTTGCATTGTATACCCATTTATGTCATGAAAAGACACTTCCTGGTGTTACCCTGGTAACGTGGATTGTATTGCATTGTCCTCCAAAGTTATACCCCTGTATATAAAAAGGACAAAACACAGACCACGGTACAGTGCAAAGTAATCGCAACCTTCAGATGTTGAATGGTATAATGACCCATTGTTTTTTTTTTTTGACATTTGTAATAACCAGGTGCGAGAGGTGACTAACCAAAAACAAATATCCATACGTATATCTATCCTCCACGACTACTTATCTAGTGATGGATCACCATAAGCTGGGAAACTGTTCACTTTGCTTCCTGGCATAAGACTAAAACAGGAAAAGGATTATTTAAAAATCTATGTTCATAAAAACTCAAGAATCTATCCTAACAAAAGTCTGGCCTAACAAAAGGATCGACAAAAGCATACCAGCATGCAGGGAGATGTCAAGATTCCCCAGCGTGATAGCAGACTCTTAAAAGAAAAATAAATGGGGGGGGGGGAAAGCATGAAAGGTTTCCTGTGCCTTTATCTGTGAACTCACAGCCTGCTTGGGGAAAGTTTGACTGACAACTGTCAATCTCTCCCTAACAGCTGAGCACTGCTGCACTCATTATCTGAGAAGTGCAAGAATAGTGGCCTCGCTGCAACAAGCAGAATGACAGGCAGCCGCAAGCACGGTGCCACGGAAAAAGGATGGCCGAAAGGAGGAAAAACCAACCAAACCAGCTCTGCAAAAAGCAGACTAGCTAAAGCAGCCGTTCTGTAGGCGGCCTGGGGCTGTTACATTACACACAGTTTCCAGGGCGTTACTGTGCCCTCTGGTCCTGGATAATTTCAGCTGCTTGGCGTTTGGATTCAAAAGAAGTGAGAACCTCCCATCTGTAAGACCCCTCCATCCAGGAAGGTGGCAGAAGCCCTATGTACATACATCTCAGCATTCAGAGATGACAAAGGGAAATCGTGAGAAGCACATCCCGTTTGACTAAACGGTGCTTGCTCAGTCTGAAACATGTAACCTGTGTGCATCTGTGAGTAGGGCTACACGATGTGCGATGTTAATATCAACACTGCATATTATGCACTTGCAACTGTCACATGGGATGGACCGTGAAAGTCAGCTTGATTGAGATTAGGCTTGGGCAGCATCTATGTCCAGAAATTACACTGCAGTATATGGTACTTTCAAGGTTTTTTCAAAAGCAGCGCTATTTAGGTTTTTGAAATCTGAGAGATTTTTTTTCTGAAGGGTGGGGAATAAGATTAGCCGAACAGAGATCAATAAGTTTGCTAAAACATTTTTACTCTGTCATAAAAAAACAAAACTTAACAAGCTTTACAATTTTAATGATTGTTCCTTTTGTTTACTGTTGCAACATTTGCATGAGCTCTGCATGTGCTTTTCAAGCCAATCAATCATTTTTGTCCCTGCTGTTGGACTCGGCGGTGCATTTGTAAGAAAAGAGCGAGGAGAAAGCGAGCAAGAAGTGGTCACCAAAAGACATTCGTCTTCCACTGTATGGATATAGTTTGGACTCCACAGAGACGATATTGAGCAATAGCAAGTGATTTGCTGGCACAACTCACGGCAACACCACCAACTTATTTGACAAACTGTACTGGTAGATAAACAATAGCCAAATAGAACTTATTTTAGATATATTTAACTCATTTTTGCTTCAAAAATATTACAATATCAATTGCAATAAATTACATCAAAATAATAAATAAATGAAAAAATTTTCCAATGCCGTGGAGCCTGATTTGCGAGGGTCATGGTGGAGACCATATCTCATCAGATCTACCATTTAAGGGCTATGTTGTTTCTTAAATTAAAACACAATCTAATGTGGAGGTACTCAAAATATCAATAAATTTATTAGATGCTAATTTACTGACTTCAGAGAATTTTGGGTAACACCTATAAATACTTGCAAGCATGCCCTTCAGGGTGTACCACAGCCTGAGACTTTACAAGCCCCTCCGTGGCCCAGACCAGAATAAACGTTTGGAAGATGATCAGAGGGACACTAATGGCTGAAAACCACAGCTGATATTTCCCCAAACAAAGCTCTTACATTTGCCACTGTAGTTAATACCAAACTGCTATCCACGAGCACACAGAGATCACTGAGGAAGGAAAAATATGGCCTGAGATGTTTTCACACCACTTGAGCTGAAGTGATCTTGATGGACCCATATTAGCACATGGCTGCTCTGTGACTCACTGGAAGCTGCACGCTGTCATGTGACACACTTCCTTAAGACATGCTTTCTTTTCATTTCTATTCTTTCCTGAGGAAGAAGGAACAATGGCTTGAACCCAAATGGCTAAACCATGCCCTTTGCTCAACTTCTATATCCTCTCATCCTCTGGGACCTGGTAATCAATATCCAGTCATTGCAGTGGTCAGTTTCAGTGCTGCAGGAGACATCCTAAAGAAAAACACATTTCCCTAACTGTAATCTCCTGTACAGAATGCAGGTTTTTTTCCCTATGCACCAGTGTGTGTAAAAAAAAAGTGAGTAAACTATTGCAAAAAATTTCAAAATGTCCTTCTTTAATAGAGAGGAAAAAAAAATTAAACTATACAACAATACAGAACAAAGCATCAGAATGCTCCAAACAGCACTCCAAACTAATAATCTTGGTAAGGTCCCTCTGGTGTCAAGTGTGATATTCATATGCATTTGATAAAAAAAGTCCTAAGTTATGCAAAACAGTTTTCAAAGAAGACAAATTCTTTAAAGATGATTCTGCACTGCAGCAGTAGGCTATTTAAAACTATTTAATGTGATCTCTCTTCTACTGCAGAAACTACAGCATCAAGATTTGGATGCTATCTTAATTGTGATTTAAACAGAAGTTAATTGAAGAGCAAAGCACAGTCATTTCTTTAGCACATCATCCTTCCCGCTGCTCACTACACCACTGTTTGCTAAAAAACACTATTGGGGATGCTTCCTGCCCGCTGCTATCAAGCACGATAAGGCTTCCTCTCGGCATGCCAGCCCTCAGACGCAGCCAGAACACAATCCTGGCATTTAAAAACTGACATACTACATATGTATTTACTAATATCTACACCACATACTTGCATCTGTAGTCTATGTTTCAATGCACACACGAGTGGTCCTATATAAATATTTTTACCCTTGGGATCAATAAAGTATAGCGGTCTATCTATGTATCCATCCACACAGCATCCCTCTATTTTTGTGAGCTAGCCCATTAATCCAATAATTTACAAATGCAGTCAATAAGCATTGCCTCCACTCTAAAAGGTCACAGCAGCGTATATACTGCATATATCGGTTCAAAGTTGTTCTACATCCATGCAAAAAAAAAAAAAAAAACCTCACCTGATACCTTCACTTATTCTCATCCTTTTCTGTCCCTTTAAAGCCCATGCTGCAGAGATGCCTCCCGCCTCCACAGGGCAAAGAAAGCCCCGCCCACTCACCTTCTACCGATGTTCGCGAGGGCGCGCCTCTCTCTACACGTAAAAAAATTTCATTCACTAGACTGTCTCGCGCACATCTCGTGAACGCGCTTTACTACAGAAGAACGGGAGCGGGAGATGGAGCGTGTTCGTCGGAAGGACGGTAGACGAACCTCACGAATTAAAAAAAATCCTTAAAAATGTCCTAGTACGTCCAAATTGCCACATAATTTCTAAAACAATGAACAGAAAGATGTAAAAAAGAGCTGTCAGCGCTATTTCTCAATATAAACGGTTTTTAAATATCATTAGAAAAATGTACTTTATGTAAATGAGTATGGAATTGCTCAGTTTCAAGGTTCTACATTTGAGCATGTTCCTTGCCGTCAGTATTAAAAATCTCCTTAATTATGCGTTAATAGTTGCGGCAGCATAAACCTATGTGTTAAAACTTGCGATGTCAGCTTAGAACAATTACGTTTATTTTTTCCATAACGGGGTCGGGTGATATATTTTAATAGTAAAACAAACAGCTAAATGTCAGACATTTATTTGAAAAATTATTTTAAAACTACCAATTTACAACTAAACTCCCCTTCCCCCGATGAGCTACAGTGCATTTTTAATCACAAAATATGGTAACACGACAAAGACCACGGACATATTGCCAACAGTTATTTTATGAGGGACAACACTGTCGTATCAGTTAATACTGCAGTAACACCGTTTATCACTTATCAAAAGCATTTGCACCTAGAATGACCGATAGAAAGCTACATCCAGCCACATCCGACTCACAAACAAGCAGCGCGAAGTCACTATCGATGACAATTGTGTCCCGGAAAGCCTCGCTTGCGGCACCCATTTCCCCGCATTATCATTGTGGGAGATTATTGAACAAGACCCTTTTTAGAGAACCGCGAACCTTTTCGAACCGGGCAAAGCCCACAACCAAGATGTTAGCTGGCTAGCTTTCAAGCTAAACCTCCTGACTAGAAAAATGCAATAGTTTTCGAATCAGTGATACTTACAATTTTTGCATTAAAATGGTCTGGAAGGCGATAACCGGTTCGTTTCCTGAAGCACATTCGTTCCTTTAACTGAGTTTGATGTATTTAAGTTTTTTTTTTCCTCCGAGGTTCAAGCTTCAAAATCGACACCCTCAGAGGGAAGCAGAGGTTGTTCTGCGCATGCGCAGAAACAACAGCCCCACTCGAAAAGCTCTTGGAGGACTTCCCTCTTGTAACCTTAATTTTAATCGAACTTCTATCTGAACGTGTTTTTTGTGCTTTCTTATATTTTAACTGTTAATAACACAATGATGTGAATTTATTGTGATTATTTGTTATTAGTGGAGTTATTCATTTAGGTCATTTCGAAGTGAACAGCAAACGGTTTTACATTAAAACACGGAGGTAACCTAAATTTTTTACTTTTCATCAACAAAGTTAAGTGATCATTAAACAGAAATACTACATTATGATTACAATACTTATTCTTAAATTCCAAGACTTATATGCGCTTAATTAATGAGAAATTTCAGAATAACATCAGGCAATATGTTCCAGTAAAGATGATCTTCAAATGTACTCTGTCATGTCGTAGTCAAGCCTGACATGCGATTGATTTTTGCAGGAAACAAAGCGGACAAATAATAACACTTCCTAAACTGCCATGACACGCAGACCCTTTTGTATACTGAGAACGAATAGCTGGTGCTTTTATCAATCACTCAAATCTTACAACATATAAGTCAATGTGTTCTTAAATTAATTGCATCCGATTTATTTATCACCAAACGTTGGTGAATTCAGGCCTCCGCGGGGAGCGGCTTCCCTTAAATGACCAGCAGGAGTCAGCAAACACTAAGGATATCACGGAGTGCGCCAAACCCCGCAGTAGTCCGTAGGCTCGTTTCCATACCGTCATTTTCCTTTATGATGAGTTTTTCTTCACATGTGTAAGTTAGTGTGTTTAAGACTATGGGTTATAAGTGAAAACCAATGAATATATCGGGATAACTTTTTTTTTTACAGAAACCATTGGAACATAATTGTCTTCTAGGTATATTCTCCCATTCCAAAACTAAGTTTCTCCTTAATTCGATATTCAGACACACGCACACACACTCACATACATACGCATACACACACACACACACACACACACACACACACACACACACACACANACACACACACACACACACACACACACACAAACAAACAAACGTAAGTGACTTTTCATGTGAAAAGCTTTGTTACTTGTATAGTTTAAAAGAATCACAGTTTGCAGTTAAACGTATAATTATATAGTTACGGCTTCTTAATAATTCTTCATAACTGTATTTCAAAAACTGCGGTATTTTTGTTTAGCAGTACTGCAACCAACCACGTGCCGGCAGTAATACTCTCTCAGTTGAAATCAATTAAAATCGTGACGCAAACACATCACAGTGACAAATATTTTGCTTATATATGTGTGTGTGCATGTATTTAGTAAGTCGGTAATATACACTAATCACCAAATTCAAACTGTTAGTTTTAAGAGATACTGGAGTGACGCAATGTCAAACGATGACCTACACGCCTTCTCTGGTATCATTTCATTTTCCCTATTTCCTTAGCAAATGTTTGCACTGCGATGCCCATCAAATAGGGTACACGTTTTCTGTTTGCTCCATCTTTTGTAAGGGCAGAGGGTTTGTCTTTAATGCTACAGGTCACGTTTGCAGTCTAAAGCAAAAGATGTGATCAAAACAAGGGTTACCTAGAGTATCCTAGGTCTTTTATTTCCAAGACAAGATTGGATGCATCCCACATGAGATTCTGAGCCCAGCACTCTGGTCATGGTAGAGTGCTCATTCCAGATTCGATAAAGACACTGTCCAACATCAGAATGTGAAGTTAAAAGTGTGGATCAGTTCAATACACCTCAGTATTAGATATGTGTGCAAGGAGGTAGTACAGCTACAGCACAAAATAACAGACCTTTTTGGCATCCATCTGCTAATGGGAAGGGTGTTTGATTAGACACTTAGGTTACAGCATAGCCACATAATCACAACCATCATTACTTTGTTGCATTTCCTTTGTATTCAGCTTCTTCAGAAACCATTCTGTCAACAATCTCCCAATGATGGAGAACCAAGCAATCATTTTTATTATGGGAATATTATTAGACTGTTACAGTGTACAGTCACTAACATAAATATGCCCACTGTCTGGGCTACAAATGGACCCTGGAAATGAATTGGACAGGAACCTTTTGCCAAAGTTCCTGGCTGGTTGTTTAAAATAGTTAATGGAAATGTTTTGCTCAGCAACAGCAGAGTACTTCAAGATCACTTTACCTGAAAGATGAACCAAACAATTTTGTCTATGGAAAAATGTTTTTTTAGATGTCCTGTTTAAGAAACACAATTCCAATGACATCCTGATCCCCAGTTGTTCTCTAAGGTGTGGGAAGTTATTTTTGGTGAGAAAAACTATCCAGAAATAATGGATTCTAAATATAACATAGATGTTTGGGTCGGTCTTTTTATGTACATTCGTGTGGTATGTAAAAATCAGGCAGGGAATGCATGCTTTTAGCTCTTTCTCCCAATGTATAAATCCAGCTCCTAAACTACCATAACAAATGTCACCTTAAGAACAACTGTCTTTATTGCCATCAATTGGACAATAAAATGTTGGAGACTCTGGTCCTATTGACATGGGGGATGGATATGCAGTACATGGTAGGAGGGATCCTCCTTTGCCCCATAGCTTCAGCTTCGAATGAATGTTAGACCCTGCTTGTCCTCCAGGAGCTGCTCAACTCTTGCCCTCTGTACATACAGAAAACAAACAATCATTTTAACATCATTTGTGTTTTGGGCAAGTCTTAATGGTACTGTCACGCTCACACATTATGGGCAGAGTGGGGATGCCAATTCGCATGTTGTTCCTTAGACTGCAGGGACAATATGCACACTCTACGCACACAGAGCCAGGAAAATGATTCAAACCCACATACCTCAGGGTGTGAGGATATAGTGCTACCAGCTAAACCATCACGTGACCTAGATAAACTTTATCTGTAAAACAATGTTGGAAAAAGGAATAACAAATTGGAAATACGGACTCTGAAGTACTCTGAATTACCGTAGGTTAAATTTAGAACTAGGTATTGTTCTTTGATGAAAAAATGACTACTATATATCTACTGTATATTTGTTCTATTTGCAGACTTAAAGAAAGTCCTAACCTTTAGGTCACCTGTTCAAACCCAGGAGTGAGGACTCTTCATCCAATCAGTCCTATAATTAGTAATCTAATTAGGGAGTTACAGCAAAAACCTGCATACATACTGGCCTTTTCTGGATAAGATTAGCCACCTCTGTCCTCGACAGTTGACTGCTGGATGAGGAGAAGCAGACACCAACACCTCAATTGTTTTTTTTCTCCACCATGCTTAGTGTAAAACGGCAGCCTTTATTATAACATTCTACCCTACTCTACTTCTTTTAGTCCTATCGCCACACTTAAAAACCATAAATTGCCACTGCAGTGTCACATGGTCCAGCTTGCCCATGTATCTTAAAGGTGTGTTTTAAGATAAGGCCCTACAAAGACCCTGAGCAACCATCCATCACAATGCTTTGAGAGACTCTTTGAGGGCCTTGTGTTGTGTTCATTTTCACACAGACAGCAGAGCAGGATCTCTGTCTTTCAAAAGCAGACTTGTAGTGGTAGAAGGCCACGTATTTGTTGGTCTTCATTCCAATTCAGCTCTTCATCATTTTCAATCAATCCCTTGCTGTTTTTTCTTAGATGAATGTTTGTTTACACAGTAAGAAACCATAGCCAAACACTGTACTTTCAGTTATATACAAGAACAAGGGTTGTTTGGAATTTCATTGTTAAAATATTGAACTTAAAGCAGAAAGTTAGAAACTACACAGGGTAGGATGACCATTAACCTGACAGACTTGTACTTGTTCATCTGAAGAACATGATTTTGCCTTACATGTGCAAGGAGAGAATTTAAGTACCTCAGCAAGTCTTTGAAACAAGACAGATTTTGCCAGAACATGAGAAGAACTCAGAAGCACAATTAGATGTGAGATCATTCCAAAACACGCACACAAAATAATTAGGCTTGGGATAAAGGAATTTAATCCTAGAATGAGTGTTGTTTTGGGGTTCATATCTGGAACCCCTAACTTCCAGATCTTTTAGTTTTCAGAGAAAAAGAACATCAATCAAATGCTGGCAATAAATTAACCAGTTAGCTCAGAACTCACTTGTATCTTATCCAGGGTATCATGAAGGGCTACTTTGTCTTCTTTGACTGGCATCAGCAGATGAAGGCGAATTGCATTCTGGGCAGTGGATTGCCAGGAAATCATGAGGTTGATCTCCTGGGTCTTCAGTCATTGGATAAAAAGGAAAATGAGAAATTCAAAGGTAATTTCAAAACACTTAGGGTCTACATAATAGCTGGTGTCTTTATTTAAAGTGAGTTTGATTAAAAAGCTCATCTGTTATAGCACTGGAGCAGTTTGACCTATCTGCCAAACATTTGAACACTGTATTCCATCTAGACTAAATAGCAAGTAGCCAGCAAGCACGAACCCGGAGAGTCTGGTACCGCAGTCTCATTAGGCGGATCCGATCACGCGCCTCAGCCGCTTTTAGTTGGCCAATCAGCGCACCCCGCAGTTTCCTTTCTTCCTCTTGAGTTGCATCTGCAGCCGGTACGTTTTCCCGGGCCGCTGCGCACCGCTCCCGTACGCGATGCTCCGATGCCGTCACCGCTTTGCGCACATCTTTAGACTGCTCTTGGTAGGCGAGTTGGCGGGCCCTCTGCTGCGGGCACATCCGTCGGATCTCCGACGCCGGTTTGCTTCGTCGGTTATTCGTGACGTTAGACATTTGTTTCATTGATCTTGTTTTATTTAACTGTCAGAAGTGTGAAAAATTAATGTAAAATGTCAGCTCAGGCATAAAGCATACAATTTTTAATTGTTTATAAAGAAAAATTTGATAAAGTACACTTCACTGCACGGTTGAATATGCAGGAAATGTACTTGATTTGTAAGTAACCCTAATTACGCATACATCATTGCCTATTAAACAATGAAAAGTATTTTCCTAAATAACACAGGTCTACAAAAAAAAACATTTTCAGCTACATGGGATATTTTTGGTAAATTTTATGTTTTTTAGGGTGCTGAATCCAAAAATGACCTCCATTTCCCTCTATCACGTACAGTTTTTTTTGCAAAACAAAAAACTATTCCTTCATGGCATATTTAACACTACATGTGTACTTTTTTTGTCTGTGAAACCTTTTCTTCTTCTCTTTGATGCTCCTCTGAACACGCTTTCGCTTTCCATCTTCTGTTTCCCACCTGAGCATCCAACAGTAGTTAGCTAGCATGTTGACGTCCCATCTTCCTTGGTATCGTCTCTCGATTTCACGAACATCCTGGTGAAATCTTTCACCCTGCTCTTCACTATAGGCTCCTAAGTTCTCGGGAAAACAATCGATATGGGAGTGTAGGAAATGAACTTTTAAGCTCATCTTGTATCCTTGAGTTTCATACGCAGCCAACATGCGTTGTACAATGGTTTTGTAGAGAGGGTCTTTAGTATTCATAAAAAACCTGTGCACTACATCCTTAAAAGAATCCCACGCTTCTTTTTCTTTTTCCCACATTGTTTCTGAAAAGCGGGGATCGGATAACAGTTTTTGTATGTCAGGGCCAGTAAAAACTTCCTCTTTCAATTTGGCTTCTGACAGTTTTGGGAACTTGGAACACAGATATCTGAAACATTCCCCATCTTTAGTCAGTGATTTAATGAACTGCTTCATAATCCCTAATTTTATATGAAGAGGTGGTAATAAAACCTTTTCAGGTGGAACCAAGGTTGTATTTATGACATTTTTTTGCCGGGGGTTAAGGCACCTTGAAGTAGCCAGTCAGTTTTGGTCCAATGGAGGTCTCTGACTCGACTGTCCCACGAGCATAGGAAGCAGGGATATTTTGTGTAACCTGCCTGCTGGCCCAACAACATGGTTAGTATTTTGAAGTCTCCACAAACCATCCAATGATGTTCTTGATAGTTGATTTTCTCAAGAATCATAGACAAATCGTTATAGTTTTCTTCCAAATGCACCGAGTGCCCTAAAGGAAGCGATGCAAATGTATTACCATTATTCAGCAAGACTGCTTTGAGGCCTGTTTTAGACGAATCTATGAATAGGCACCACGCAGATGGATCATATTCTATGTCAAAGCACTTCATTAGTCCTTGAACATCATTACAAAAAATGAGATTTCCCTCTTTGGAGAAAAACTGAGTGAATTCCTTCTCTCAGCGCCTGTACCCGGAGAATAAAGTCCCAGGTGTCTGCAGATTTTTATTTTTCAGTCTTGACCCTAGCAATTCGGCTCCATCTTTGGAAAGGTCTAAATCTCTAACTAGATCATTAAGCTCGCTCTGAGAAAATGGTTGGGATCCCTCATCAACAGAAACATCTGAGCTAGATTCATCCTGGTGGGGTAATGTGTCTCCGTCCTCAGAATCACTCCGGATATCATCCAAACTTGAAGGTGGGTGTGGAACTGGTATTTCTGAGGTATGAGGCACTGGACGAATAGCTGAACTAAGGTTTGGGTAAGATATGTTCTTTTTATTTTTAGTATTAAAGCCTCTTACATCTACCGAACAGAAATAGCAATCAGTAGTGTGGTTTTGCTGTTCACGGCACATCATAGGAATGCCAAAATGAAATGAGTTTTTCTTACACTTAAAGCACAAACGAAGATCTTCCTCACATCTTCTACACACCTTGTGAGGAGCCGATGGTCTTGATCCCCAAGTTTGAACTTGAAGTAAGCAAAATAAACTTTCTTCACAAAATCACTTATGTTCCTTTGTTGACAGTGTATTCACCACAAATAAAACAAAAGTTGTCTGGAGAAACTACACAACCTCTTGGAGCCATAATACAGAACTAAAACAAGTGCACAGTCACGATTGAATGCAGGATGTAAACTGAGTGTGGCTTATACAGCAAACAAAATCCTGAACTTATTTAGCATGTTCAAACATGATCATCTGAGCTCCTCACACCGCCAAACCCACTGTACCCCCCCCCCCCAACTGACCCCCCTCAATTCCTCGCATTTTCTATTTGTATTTCTCTTGAGTCTCACTCTTAGAAATATTAAATTAATGTAAGAAATTATTATTGCATATGGTTTTTTGACTCAAGAATAGGATACCAGATTTCAGTTTTAAAAAGGGAAATTTTACTCTTAATTAAAATAAAAACATGAGAAAACCTGACGAGATAGAATTTAAAAAATATTTTTCCCAGTTTCAGTGAGTAAAAATCTATAAGAAACAGTCAAAAAATAATATGCAGTTTTTTGGTTGCAGACCTGTGTAATCATTCTTGCTTATTTGTGGATTTTTTAAACCTGTATAAATTGAAGACTAGAAAGAAAATGAATATTTTAGTAAAACATCTTAAAACTGATTAATGAACTGAAATAATATACTACGAATTAAACAGGGAACTCTTTACCTTTGTATTATAGGCCTACACATTCTGCTCTTGCCAACAAAAGCCGGTTCTCTAGTGTTTGCGGAAGTCGCCTAGGCAACCGTGGGGGCAGGTCCTTCCACTCCGAATGTCCCCGATTGTTACAGACTTTTCCGAAGAATAAAAAAAAAACATGCTGAACAATGAAGCGATAAAGCCAGTGTTGGTAGGTATCATCCGACTACACGTAAATATATCTAGACAGTTATATTCAACATTTTATGACTTTTAAATGATCTATTATTTATCAACATTGTGATAGTTGTAAACTAGCTGCTTTCCTACGCCACTATACAATAATGTTTATGAGCTTGTTCCCCCCACTTTTTTAGGCTGCTTATTATTTTCACACATAGTTTACCAACCACGGGTAACCCAGTATCAGAATTGTAGTTTCATAACAGCTGATTATTGTTTCTGTGGATTTCTTCCTGTAAACCTCAATTACCTGTTTTCTATGTGACAAAGTAAAGGGGGCAGAGAGAGAGAATTTAGGGAATTAGGGAAACTGCAACGTTGGTGACAATAAGGAACGTCACTGGAGGTACCAGAAAGTATGATATGCAGGGCATCATAAATGACTAATAGATGATAAGTGTACAGATTCTCCGGACCAAGCTGGCTGCCGACCAAAATGTTACTTCAGGCTGCCAGAGCGGTCTGTTCTTTAACACTGCTCTTGGTCACTATTTATCCAGATCAATGTCATTTAAGTGCAGCGTGGCATCAGGATATTTCAGCCTCTTGAAGACAAGGGGCTGATAGAAAGATGGATGTTTGAGGGCAGCTGGATTTTGCCATGATACAGCTATGACTCGTCCCCCAGGGAGAGTCAGAGCTACAGGGGATTTGGTGAAGTGAGGGGCCAGGCTTCCAACCCACAGAGAAGCACCACGGTGTAAATTGAACGCACTTCTATTGTTTGAGCTGCTACACAGAGAGCAACACCTGTGTCTCGCATGCATGCTCACCTCTGAATGAATTTCCAAGTCTCAGAGGAAACTGTAATAAGCCTGGTGTGAAGATGGAAATTAGAAACATGCTGAATGGCTTTTGCAGTGTGGAGAGGCGGTGAGAGCACTAGAATCCTACTTTTTCCTTTTTCATAAATCACTTAATGGTAATAATTTAAGATGAGCAGTCTTGTCAGTTTTGCTGACTTTTTCCAGTTGCCCATAGCATGTGACTGAGTGTCAGTAAGCGATGGATGCTGTGCACCCTGTCATGAGCTGGCATCGCATCTTGGGTGTCCCCTCCCTCGATCCCTGTGCTTCCTGGAGCCTATCCCAGGAAATCATGTGACCCTGTACTGGATGATCGGAAGATGGATGGATATTTATTCTGTTTTGAGTTGTACATCTGGGTGTATGGAAAGAAAAATAAAAAGGACATTACTAATTTCTAAAAGTACTACCTTATTTAAAAAGGGGGGGGGGAGGGGAGAGTGGACTGACATTTTATGAGTGTGCCTGTGTGTTTGTTACTTTTTCCATCCCATCAACAGAGACTTTACTTAATCCATTACCATTCTGGCTATTCCTGGTACTACCTCATAATGGGGGGAGAGACGCTGGACCAGAAGAGTGCGCTTGACCTTTTCAGCGGGAAGAGGACGGGGAGGGGAGAGGACCGGCAGCCACAAATAGATGGACCGTATAAAGGGGAAAAAAAGAGCACAAAAGAGGGAAAAACCGAAGAGAGAAGTCCGGAGCTTTCTGGTAAAACAGATCTAGAGGAAAAGTTCACCGGCCTGAACATGAATGTAAGACCATGGTCATATAATGGTGAGAGAAAGTCTGTTAACCCTTTAGAATTCTGTATTCCTTCATTGCTTTTTTAACCTAAAACTTTCAAAAACAGATAAAAATATACAATTGATAGATTAATGCACAATGCAAACCAAACACTCAATTTTCACTTTGCAGTGCACACACACACACACACACACACACACAAACACACTGTGGGTTATTTAGAGATGTTAATTAACACAATGTGGGGAGAACATGCAACCACGCAGTGCAGAAGCAGGACTCTGATCCCCCAGCTGTGGAGGTTTGAACCAATAGTGTTACCCACTGTGCCAGCCAGCCACTCTGCTTTGATTGCTTTGGTAATTGCTGGTTTCAGCTCTACTTCTTCAACCAGACATTGTCAGAACCTGTTGATTAGTTCCATGTGATGGCTTGCAGGGATTTTGGACCATTGTTCTTTACAAAAATGAATCTACTCATATTTATTGTGTGTTTAAGGTCAGGTCATACCACAAGACTTCAAATGGCCATTACAAAATGCTAAATTACTTGTCCTAAAGCCT